TCTTCCTCTTCCTCTTCCTCTTCCTCTTCCTCTTCCTCTTCCTCTTCCTCTTCCTCTTCCTCCAAGGTCCTCGTTGTAATCTGAACCTCTTCAAAACTATCTCTGAGTTTATTATCTGATTGTGATTTAATCAACTCTAAGGCCATATTTAGATATTCTTAATGCTTCCCTAGCCCTTTCAAACACAATTTTAATACAACATCTGGTCTATTTGTGGACCATAGTTTGAGAATGTTTGCCTCAACAAAGGGCAAACAGTTGAGTCACAAAACACTCTTTCTGTATATATTTATTTATCTTTTTTTAAGTGAAAGGATGTGTTTTATTTACCTGTATAATCTGGAAAGCAGATAATTAAGGGGGATTTCTTAATCTTCTCTTCAAAGATGTCCTTCTTATTGAGGAACAGGATGATGGAGGTATCTGTGAACCATTTATTGTTACAGATACTATCAAACAGCTTCAATGATTCATGCATGCGATTCTGTAACATAAAAGAGATAGCATGTCAGGCCAGGATGGTTACAAAGCCACCTTCAACATGTAGGGAAGCATCTAAAATTAAGAAAGAAAGAAACTCAAAAGGAAGCAGACAACAATGGGTGCAACACAGCCCATATTTAAACACGGAAAAAATATATGTGTATGTATATGACAACTGGGTTTGCACAACACACTTAAAGAACCATCTACAGAAGAAACTCAGTTTGATCAGTTTTAACTATGGTCAGTTTTTCTTTTTACGGCTTCGCTTGTTGAATTCACCAAATCCTTTTGATTGGGGGTAGAGTTTGATTTGTTGTGTGAACCCAGGAAGTGGGTCTACTCAACAACAGTTAAGTGTGTTGCATGAAACACAGCCAAGGAGACGCCGTTGGTATAGATGTGAGCTTCGGTTAACAGCACCAAAGCATGTGTGGCTTTGTTTTTCTTTTAATAAAGCTTTATGATTTTGAATAATATTTAAAAATAAATAAATTAACAGGATTCCATCTCAGATAAAATCACCATGCACATGCATTTCGATGGCTGAGTGGAGGAAGGAACCGTTATTGCCCTTACAGGCTGCAAATTGAAGCCGGAAGCAAATCATGCAGATTTGTTAGAACAGATCAGTAAAAATGTTGACCGTAGGATCATTGATTGCGTGGGACAGTATTTGACTGTAGACATTAACCAAGGATGGCTGGATGTCACCCTTGAATTAATCCAGAGTTGAAAGCAGTCTAAGAGGGAGAAGGCTCTTCAGGACAATAATCTTGCTGTGTGGTTTTGGGGCCTTTTTGTTATTTCATTTAACATTTGTTAGTTGGTTGGTTTAATATCAGCATCCTTGAACTGATACTTTTTGGAAGGTGGGGTTTGCTCAAAATCATAGCACAAAAGAAACCAAGGACGAAAGAAAAAAAAAAAAAGAAGGGAAAAGGAAGGGCAAGGAACTAGGAAGACCATACCTACGAATAATGCGAATATTTATAGATTGATTAAGTTTAGTTCATGCCTCAAGCGGAAAGATTACATGAGATTGTAATTTGGAGTTTTCCAATAATGGGAAAATAATAATAACAAGGGCCACAAATTCAAATGCAAGAATGAGAGGAATGTGAATTTCAGTTTGAACGCATGCAGAGAAATAACAATACGTGGATAAGTGATTGTTAGCAAAAACCAGAATTGATGCGTTAATTAAGGAGTGACAAGATAAAGGGTATATGGTTCACAGCAAAATCAGCCTGGGTGTGTCCTGTCCTTCAGCTGCTTTCAACTCGATGGTTTTTCTCAGTTCAAGAGAAGCTTCATACCTGCCAAATTGGAAGGGGGTCTCTCAAAACCTCATTATTTTTGCCTTTGTTCTGTTAGATAAGATCAGTCGGCCCAGGGAAAGTGACGGTGAGGAAGCCTGCTGGAGTTGGAAGCAAGAGGCCCAAGGTGGAAATGGAATAGCAGAAAGGAGCAGCCGTAACGGAGGTAGAAGCCAACCCAGAGAGTCATAATGGGTTATCGAGAAGCAAAGCAGATATTAGACCTGAAAGGTGGTCTTTGTTTTGGTCTTGTTGGGGGGGCACCACGTCAGGTGCCGTAGTTCCTGCTGAATGCGGCTTGGTACAAATTGCAACTAACCAAACAAAGAGGATAGACATAAAAAGAGAGATACTTTCAAGTGACGGGAAGATCTGTGGAAGGTCCCTGAGGTAAAATCAACCCCTCTCCCCTCTGTGAAAAAAAAACACAATCAACCAGGACTTTTCAACACAACCATCAAAGCATGGATTTTCAAATCAAGTTCCAGCGAACATGAGGTATCTTTGAAGCCCGCCTAGAGGCTCATCAAAATGTGAAGGACCTTGAAGTGGGAGTGAAGAGGGGGCATTTCCCCCCTACAAAAGAAAGCAGGGGAAACTCATTGTCTGCTCCAAAAAAGAGTCAATGGTGAGAACTGGAAGACTGGATTAATGTGAATTAATGACGTGTTGTGAGAAATGTGCCCAAATATTCAGATAAACGGAGGAATGACAGAAAGAGATTCGGGAGGTAAAACGTTAAAAAACAACAACTCCTGTACGAAGCTATTCATCTCTTCCACTGAGTTTTTATAGCCACATAGATGGTGTGGCAGAGTGAAGTTAATGAGCTCTCATCTACCACCACAGTTCAAGATCCTTTGAAAGCTCCTGGATGACCATTTAGATAGTCTTAATTTAGGCTGATGTGCCTTTCTTAGTCTGTCCCAAGTCTGGGCAAATGGACCCTCCGTTAATTAGTAAATTTCAATTCTTTCAGAGCATGGGTCCAACTCAAAATTAACTTCTGGAGAACATTCTCATAGGACAAAAACAGCTTAAACGTCTTGCTTGCTTTTGACTAGCCTGGCATTTTCACATGGGCAGAGCACAGAGTTGGTTGACAGGAAGAGAAACTCTTTATATCATGACACCAAGAGACAAACCACACCATCTATGTCATTTGCACGTTGGCCTCATCACCTATTTGATTTCTGTGAATTCTAAAGGGTGCCCATTTCTAAAGTCACAGCGTTCTACTCTACAATGTATGGTTTTATAGACACATCAAATGGAATGGATATAACCTCTGTAAATATATTTGGAAGACATCCGGCTAGACCAGTGTTTCCCAATCTCAATAATTTTGAAATGGGTAGATGCAAGGAACCGAGAACCACATGAGGAGTTAGTCAGAATGGTTTCTTTATTGTTGCTCACCTCTACACAAGAATCTTGCCAGACTAAAGCACAAATCTACATATCTGTTGAATATACCCTGTGTCAGTGTTCCAACTAACCAACTCCAAACCAATAAACTCCGAGACAGGCATTTTCTCAAAGTTCCATTTTATTACAGTTGTCATATTGGCACATCTGGGGAAAGCCGAATCTGAGAGTTCTGGGTTTTCCCTTCCCAAAAGAAAATCAAAGATCTATCCCCTGTTCCCAGCAGTCCATCCCATGGTCCAGTCAAAACCAATCAAATTTCCTAACTATCGTGTGAAAGTCATTTTTCCCAGATTACTGTTTTGCTTTAAAATATTACAGCGTAGAGACAGTTCAGACAACATTCCTAACCAGGCCAGTTAAAACACTACGGTTTTATTTGCACAGTACACTATACTTGCTTATTTTTCAGTTTGGTTAATTTTTTTGATGGTTCAGCATATTGGGTCAATCATTCATTCTTTTATTCATTCACTCATCTTTCAATTTAGATCAAAAACATAGGAAAATTTAAAAAGAAGCATATTGTAAGTACCCAGAAAGACTTTAAAGAACGATAAAACCCATTTCACAGGAGCTCAACCATTACTCAACTCCAAAGCTTGAGAGCATAGCTACGTTTTCCATGTCTTTTACACAACATCAAGGTGGAATTAGATGAATCTCTGGTGTTTGCACAGGTATAAAATGGTGTCACTCTATAAAAGGAACCCTCATCCCTTTGTTGATTCAAACAGAGTTATGTTTTAAAGGTTTCATGAAGTGGATCAGCCATGATCTGCCCAGGTTGAGTAACTGGGTCCAATGCATTGTGCACCTCCAGAAAGAAAGTTAATTCAATAATCAAGTTAAGCACCCACCCTTTAGTAGTTGAAAGAGGAAAACAGATAACAATATGGAAACAATATGTTCTGCAGAAGGCCATACAAGCAACTGGTACAATACAATGGTACAAAACAACTTCAGAGGAGTGCAGCTTAATCTTTTTGAACACCAGGTAATTTTTTCTCTCTGCTGCAAACATCTATAAAGCTGGCTACCTGTTTCTTGATCTAATCCATTTAATTCTAAGATCCAAAGACTCTAAATTAATCATCCTCTTAAATCAAAGAACAAGCTTCACCCACCCAATTTTGTCCACCCTCCCAGCTTAGAAACAGGCAGCTGAATCTTAAAATCCCTTCAGTTATAAGCAAAGGGGGCAGTTGACTTTTTAAACCTACCCAGTTCAAGGAACATCCAAAATTAACTTTCCAGGTAAGTATTTGTTTCCACTTGCAATGTCAAAACCTAGAGTCATGGGGTAGAGATTTATGGTACGAGGAAGCACAGGTTGAAAGAAGAATCACAAAGTTATTTAATAACTTTTCCCTTCCCTTTTCCCTTGCTGTTTGTTTTCGAGTTTCAGTCTGATTTTTATCATTTGAAACTTTTAGAAATGTCCCGAAACTTCTTAAATCTCATGCCAGGATGAATCAAGATAGCAACATTTTTATGTACATGAAAGAAGGATCTATGTGCTGAGGACGTGCCATGCTATTCCAATAGTTCTGGGAGATACATCACCTGGAAAATTTTGGACTTGCTAATATGCACTTTTCTTGAGTGTATAATTAAAAGGCATTGGTAAATTGTATAATTTAGAGGAATATTAAAAGTACAAAACAAGCAATGAGTCAGAAGTTTAAGTACTGTACATGCTTAGGAATTGTGATTGAGAAAGAAAAAGCAACGGATCTATAAGAGCTAAGCAAGCCTTAGGATTTTCTCTGCCCCAACCCAAAATTTATTAATTTTCCTGCCTGAAAAGATAAAGAAAAGGAAGGAAGGAAGGATCAGAAGGGCTAGGTTTTCACCAGTTCAAAATTCCTTGACACTCCACTGTACATTTATTCAGAGAAACAACATACAGTAATCCATAACTTGAATAATTTTAAATTTGCAACTTCTGATATGAACCAGCTATTACAAAGATACTGCCTTCTCTCTCAGCAAAATTTGAGTATTTCCAGACAAAGTTTTCATGACCCAACCACCTTACTCCAAATATTGCATTTCACAGGGATTAAATAATTTTTTTTTTTATAAACCGAATACATAAAATAACAAGGGGTTCAGGTAATAACATTCTCCATCTGTCATTCTCTCCCTTTCCTGTTTTATGCCCCTTGCCCTCCACCCAATTCATTAAGGAGAGAAAAATTATTGTTCAACATATTTCCCTTAATATCACATGGGGTTCTGCTCTATTTGGGAGAAATAACGTTCTTTTATTTTGGGAAACAGGTTGCCAGATTTGAAACCTCATGTGATAATTTTGCTGGACAGATTGCTACACCTGAAATCTCAGTCCTAGCATAAAGGAAAGGATTCCTTACTCTTACATGTCTTCTGTATGATTCTTTACATTCCTACTCCTGCCCCGTCCCTGTGAAATCCCATTCTTGCTGGCTATGTATGGAGATTCTCAGTCATCCGTAGACTGAGAGTGGATCATGGCTGACTCAAAGGTGCTTTTCCAAAGGCAACTGGAATTTGTTTTTCCTCGAAGATCTTTCCCTTCTCAATCAAGAAGCTTCTTCAGTTCTTCCATTCTCCACCATTCAGTCAGAACTGTAAGAAGCTTCTTGGATGAGAAGCAAAACATCTTCAAGGAAAAAAAAAAAGGAAGGCCAGCTGCCTCTTGAAAAAGCACCTTGAGGACGGTCTTGCTGGCTTGAATCAAGAGGAAGTGAGGAGGATATCTCGGAAGCTCCAATAAGAATATTTATTAGTAAATAAATACAGATAGTCCTCAACTTATGACTTCAATTCAGCCCCAAATTTGTACTGTTAAGTGAGACATTTGCTAAGTGAGCTTTGCCCCATTTTACAACCTTTCTTGCCACAGTTGTTAAGCGAACCACTGCAATTGTTAAGTTAGTAAGACGTTATTAAGTTAATCTGGCTTCCTGGTTGACTTTGCTTGACAGTTTGATGACTCTCGCAAACAGGCACAACCTGGTATCTGTTTCTATTAGTTTGTTTCAAATATTTTCTTTTCTACCTGTTCTGTTCTTTCATTTTCATTCTGTCAGCACCCAGGACAGCAAGTTATCTCTCAGGTCTTCCTCCCCTTCCCTCTCAGCAGAATAAGAATAAACAATAAAACTTTTAAGGTTGTTTTAACCCCCGCTTTCTTTGAAAAAAAAAACTGTTATTCATCAGGGATACCTGGTCAGATACAACCAACGAGAGAGGATAAGAGTTCTGGATAAATTCTTGAGTTACTGTAAGGAGTGAATGAACTGAATTCCTGGGCTATGACCATCCTGCCAATTGCAGTGGCTTAAACCCAACTATGGTTGGAGAATAAGGGATCTCCATTGCATCAAAGGAAGACATGTGAAAAATAAAGAATATTGTTGGATCCTTTGGGCTTAAGAAAGGAGCCCGATGGTGTGGTGGCTACGAACAAAATGCAGGAAATCGAAGAGCCATGGCAGGGATTATTTTAGCCGGGGAACTACTCACCGTTGTCTCATCTTCATGAAGTACCTGGTCATACCCACTCAGAGCGACACAGAAAATGATTGCCGTGACATCCTCAAAACAGTGGATCCACTTCTTACGCTCCGATCTCTGACCCCCAACATCAAACAGCCTTAAGAAGAAACAAGGAAAACTCTCCATCATTTCATCCTAGCACAAAAGGGTATAAGTGACTTCAAGTGACGCTTATGCTCTGGTTGGCAGGTCCAGGGCAGCGCTCTCAAAAAGAGGTAGGAAGGAGAAAGATGTGGATAAGACAGGGATTACAGATGATCAAATGGTGCTTGTAGGTCATCTAGTCCAACCCTCTGCCCAAGCAGGAGACCCTATACCATTTCTGACAAATGGCAGGCCAATCTCTTCTTGAAAGTCTCCAGCGATAAAGCTCCCACAACTTCTAAAGGCAACTTTTGTTCTCACTGTCAGAAAATTTCTCCTTATTTCCACGTTGAATTTCTCCTTGTTCAGTTTCCACCCATTATTCCCGTGTCTGGCTTCAGGTGCTTTGGAAAATAGCTTGACCCCCTTCCTCTCTGGCAGCCCCTCAAATATGCTATCATGTCTCCTCTGGTCCCTCTCTTCACTAGACTAGCCATACCCAGTTCCTACAACCGTTCATCGTATGTTTTAGCCTCCAGTCCCCTCATCATCCTGGTTGCTCTTCTCTGCACCCATTCTAGAGTCTCAAAATCTTTTTTATAGTGTGGTGACCAAAACTGGATGCAAAAGGGAGCAAAAGTAAAGTTCACAGAATTAACATGCTTATACTGTACAACTCATTTTGCCTTCTGTTCCTCTTGCACTTTTCCTTTGTTGATTTTATTGCAATTTCTTTGTTTGGATGATTATGTTGGGAGTTGTTGGGAGTTAGGCAGCCTATAAGTTTGATAAATTTTTGCCATTGTTGTTAGATTAAAAATGGAAAAGCCATTTTGGGGACCAAATCAAAGATTTCTTGATTGACTTGAGGTTGATATCTTTAGTCTAGGTCCAAATAATTTTAAGGCTTATTTCATAAGCTATGAACATTTTGAACTTTCGTTTCTTATGAAATATTCCATAAAACATTCAAGAAATAAATGTCCAAATTAGAGGAAGATTTCAAAGCTTTTTGTAACAAGGTATAAAGCAATGAGACAGTTTGGTGTAATGGTTCAAGCTGCTGGATAGGAGAACTGACCCAAAGCCAGCTGGATGATTTCCTCAGCTGTAGATTGAGAAGTAAAATAATATCTCAGAATAACGTGCTGGAAAACAATTTCTGCAAACTTTCCTCCCAAAACTGAAAGGACTCATTCCTAAACTCATAGACTCATTCATATGAGGCAGAGAATTCTGCAGAAACTGAAGGAAACCTAAAGAAAATTCCTGAAGTAATTCTGTTGAGTGGGCATTGCTTTGAGACTCCACAGCTTAATTTGTACTGGTAGTTTTCAGAAAAGGCACAAAAATGCAGAGACTTTGTAAAATAGAAATATATGTTTGTTTGTTTGTTTGTTTAAAATCCATCGGCTCTAGTCTCTTTGCATTCTAACTACATCCAGTGCAGGTTTTATTCCACCCTTCAAGTTTGAGAACGACTTTTTGTGGAGTTGTGTAGGTAATTCCTAGGGTTGGGCAAAACTTTGGATTCCTCTATAAGACACTCCATTGGAGCATGTGGGGGGAAGAGGTGGGAGATAAGGCAAGTTAGAGGGGAGGGAAGGGAAAGGAAAAGAAAGACAGAAACAAAAGGAAAGAAAGAAAGAAGGAAAGGGAAGGAAGAGAAAGAAAGTGAAGTGAAATGAAGGGAAGGGAAGGGAGGAGGGAAGAGGGAAGAGAAAGGAAGGGTGCAGATGAGTGATAGTGATGACCAACTGAACCAGCCTGTATCAAGCCCCACCTACCATGGCAGTCATTTTGTGGCAATGCAGACCACACACAACACCCCCAATGCCTGCCCATTGGTAAATGAAAAGGACAAGAGCCACGTCCGTTGATTATCTACCCAGTCAGGGTGATTCTTTCATGCTACCCGCATTCTTCTTACCTGAAATGGAGGTTTTTGAATGTGAAATGGGTTTCTACAATGCCAGTTGTTTTGACCCTGGTTCGAAGGATGTCTTGCTCTGTGGGCTGGTAATCGGCAGCTCCAATTCGATCTAAGCAGTCTAGATAGCTGTAAAGCAAAAATGCGAAGAGGAGGGATTAGGATAAAAATATGACTTTTATCTCTAGCAATGCTGAAGGAAGACAGAACAAAACAAATAAACGTGACGAATTATTATTTACGTTTTATACCTCTCCCTCATAACACCTTATGAGCTTTCCTTTGTGGTCTTTGTTAAACCAAAAATTTTACTATCTTAAGGTTTCTTTTCTTTTTGTAAGATTAAAGATTGTTTTGTTAAAAATATAGATATTAAATTAATTTTAAAAACATATAGGAAAGTTGCTTCAGATATGGAGGAATTTCTTGAAATTCCCAAGGAAGAATTCAATATTCTCCTCCATGTACAAAAAGGAACTGATTTCTTCTTTTTCTTTTCAAGTCTCTCCTCAAAGCCCTTTTAGGATGTTTTTGGAAGAATTTTAAAATCTTCATTCATTTTTTTCTCAAATAAGATGGAAACTCCTTTATGCTACGGCTCTAGACTGAATTTTTGGATGTAAGCATCTTGCAACAGGAGCTTGTCTTTTTATTGTTAATCTGTAAAACGCTATATTGGATATTCCTAATATCTCAAAAAACAGAAGGAACTGTGCAGAGCATCACATTTGCATCAAAATCAACACAATTGCTATCACATTTCCTTTCTTTTCTCTCTGTTTATTTCAGCTCCATTTTACATTTTATAATTCACCAGAAACCCATAATTTAGTTACTGAATTGACCCTGATCTTTTCTTCAATTACTGCATTATATTTGGACGCAATATATTATTTTATTATACATTGTTTATGTTAACTGCCACCAACAGCTGAGTTGAGTACTGCAGGGGGAAATCAGTAAAATAAGGCAAGATATTTCATTACCTAGTGCCCGATGATGCTACCTGGTTGGGTAGTGAAACATTTGCAAGAAAACAACCAAGCTCAGAGAGAACCAAGGATGCCACAGTTCAACGCTGAGTTATATATGTTCTCTTTTATAAAACAAGATAATCAAAATAAATATGCCAGATCTGAAATTCGTTCCATTCTTTCCTTAAACTAGAGGATAAAGACTATGTTTGAAAACTAAAATGTTGGAGTGTCAAAAATGTAATTCTTACTGTTTATAGATTTCCAACAGTAGCAGTGGAAGACGTATAGCTTGGGAAGCTGAGCTAGGTCAAATTTGTCCCCAAAATTGAGTTGGGTAAACTTTCAATAATTCCAAAACAAATGAATCAAGATTCAAACTAAATCTGACCCACCAGATTGGGAATTGTGGACCCATTGAATCAGAGAGTTGAAGCCTAGAGTTTTTAAATGTTTCATCAACCAATTCTCCAGCCAGCATCCATCCATTGCTGTAGCTTGCATCTCCTGCTGGCTGAGGAATTCTGGGAGTTGAAGTCCACACTTCCCAAAGTGTGCAAGGTTGGGAATCCTTGCTCTAGGATCCCCATCCTTTCCCCCCTGATTTGGCAACCTTGGCAAGTGCTAGAACAGATTAACAGAGTTGGAAGGGGACCTTGGAGGTCATCTAGTCCAACTCCCTGAGACCAAGACCCTACACCATTTCCGACCAGTCTCTTCTTGAAAGCTTCCAGTGATGAAGCTGCCACAAGTTCCGAAGGTAAATTCTGTTCCTTTGGTTGATTGTTCTCAGAAAATTCCTCCTTATTTCCAGGTTGAATCTCTCCTTGATCAGTTTCCATCCATTATTCCTTGTCTGGCCTTCAGGTGCCTAGGAAAATAAGTTGACCCCCCTCCTCCTCTCTGTGATAGTCCCCCAAATATTGGAACCCTGCTATCCTGTCTCCCCTGATCCTTCTCTTCACTAGACTAGCCAGGCCCAGTTTCTGCAACCCTTCATTGTATGTTTGAGTCTCCAGTCCCCTCATCATTCTGGTAGCTCTTCTCTGCACTCTTTCTAGAGTCTCAGCATCTTTTTATAGTGCGATGACCAAAACTCCAGGTGTGGTCTTACTAAGACTTTGCAAACTGGTGTTAGTACCTCTCTTGATTTTGATTGTATCCCTTTGTTAATGCAACTTAGGATGGCATAAGAGTTGAAACTTCAACTCCTGTAAAATGTGGCGATCCAAATACATTTCAGAGATCTGTTTTGAATGGAGGACCTTACTCTGCCTTCTAAATCAAGGGGTATAAAAGACACCCACAGCTCCGAGAAATGAAACGTAAGCCAGAAGGTTATCAGCCTTTTAAATGTTGCACTTTTAAAAGATAGATCCCCCTTTAAGAGCAAGCTAAACAGCAACGTATAAATACTTCTACTGAGTACAAAAATGGGAACACGCCCAGATTTCAACACAAGAAGTTTTCTCTTTGGCTGGATCCAGTGTGGTCTCCCTCTCTTCATTTTAATCTTTAATCACTTTTTTTTGTTTTCTCCCATAATTTCACGCTGCTTGTTAGAGAGAGAGAAGGGGGGGGGGAGAGAGAGAGAGAGACTGGCCAGACAACACCATCAGTTTATTCCAGCTTTCATGACATTTTTTGCAAGGCTGGGCCTGCTTCGACATCTCTAAAGGCTGGAAGCGCCAAGAATAAAAGGGCTTTGAAGGTGTTTGGGCCTGCATACAGATGAGAGGATCTGAAAGACCGAAGTTGGCAAGAGTTGGAGAGGGGAGGGCAATCCCTTGTCGAGCTGCAAGTTGAGAGAAGGCAGGTTGTGCTGCTGCCAGACAGTGTTGGCTCTTCAAGTTGAAAAGCAAGGTGTGCATTTATATAATAAAGCAATAATAAGGAGAGGGATCCTTTTCCCTTCCCTCCCTCCCTCCCAAAAGCAAAACCCAAAACATGTCAAGCATGAATGTTTTGCAAAAAAAAAAAGCTTTGTTTCAAAGCTTGGGAGACGCTACTGAGAAGACTTGCCTCTTGACCCACACTCCTGTTATGATTATTTATTATTATAATTATTTGTGTATGATGTTGTTTCATGAGCCAGGAGACCACAATGCTATTGCAGAGTAGCAGTTTGGCTACTAAGATACCAGTTCTGCTGTAGCAAATGCTAAAATAGAATTGAATAGAACAGAACAGAATAGAATATAGAATGGAGTGGAGTAGAGTAGAGTGGAGTGGAATGGAGTAGAGTAGAGTAGAGTAGAGTAGAGTAAATAGATGATGTGCAGTGGTTAGAATGCAGTATTGCAGTCTGACTTTGCCCACTGCTTGGAGTTCAATCCTGACCCGCTCAAGGTGGACTCAGCCTTCCATCCTTCCGAGGTGGGTAAAAGGAGGACCCAGATTGTTGGGGGCAAGAGGCTGACTCTGTAAACCGCTTAGAGAAGGCTGTAAAGCACTATAAAGTGGTATATATAAGTCTAAGTGCTATTGTTTCTCTCTCTCTCTCTCTCTCTCTCTTCCCCCCCCCACCCCCCGTTCATCCATCCACGATGTGCAGTGGTTAGAATGAAGTATTGCAGGTTGACTCTTTCCACTGCCAAGAGTTCAATCTTGACCAGGTCAAGGTTAACTGAGCCTTCCATCCTTCCGAGGTCAGTGAAATGAGGAGCCAGATTGTTGGGGAGAACATTTGGACTCTGTAAACTGCTTAGAGGGAGCTGAAAAGTACTGTAAAGCAGTAAATAAGTCTACTGTAAAGCAGTAAATAAGTCTATAAGTCTGTGATCTTGCTATTGCTAGACTCAAATGTCAGATTGTGCCAATGCTTGGGAGTTGAATCCATTTCTTCAGCTCCTCTGTAAACCAAGAATTTGCTTGAGATCAGCAACGGGAGTGATATGCCATTGTTCAACCACATCTGTTTTCTCTAAATGTGATATTCACTGAAGATTTTATATAATTTTTTTCTTTCACTGAAATTTCCATTGTTGCATATCAATTGTTTTGTTTCAATTCTGCAGCCATTTAATCATACAGCATTTAACTGGTTTGGTTTCTGAGTTATATTTCATCAACAACTTATAAATAAGGCCCCTTTAAGGGTGCTGAGTTTTGTTTTATAAAGTTTTCATTTTAAAATCCCTAAATGTTCCGCTGTCTTTCTTTCTTTTTAGAATTTGAAGACATTGGGACTAGCCAGTGATTCTGACCCTCGGGATAGAGTCTCAAATGATTTTATCTTTGCTCTATTGACAAGTTTTTGCAATCTGCATTTTTTTTTATCTCTCACCAATCAAATTTCTTTACATTCTCATCTTCGTAAAAATAAATAGCCAAGCAAGAGCTGATAAGTATGAGCTAATTCCCCACCACCACCCTATATTTTTAAAATACTGCTCATCAGATGATCTCCTATAAATTGCCTATTTATGTTTCTGTCAAGCCAAAGATATCTGCGTAAATCATCTGGAAACCTTTCTCCCTTTCACAGAAGGAACACAGCATTAAGGGAACAGGATCCTGCCTGTTATTCAGGTTAGGCAACTGGCTTGAAAAGATAATTTGAAATTTGGTTCTGCCAAACTGCTTCGTTCCTCTAAATCTTTTAATATCTTCTGTTTAATCCGCAGTCTTTTGTCAAACCGTATACAATTAGATTAATCTCTGCCAGTCATTTAATACTCTTGTCTTTAATTTTTATTAAAATCACTTGAAACTGAAAGTTAGATTAGTTTGGTCTAGTGGGGAAGGCATCAGCTAGAAAGTGGGAGACAGTGTGTGTGAGTTCTAGTCCTGCCTGAGGCATGAAAACCAGTTGGATGGCTTTGGGACAAACACCAAGAGTATCTTAATATGTGATTTTGTACACGGAATTATCAACTGTCAAAAATGTTCTCTTTTCCAGTCACACCACCCATTTCAACTGAGATGTTTGGAGCATCCAAAGAACAATTCTCATGGATAATTTAAGTACACCAGGAGTTGCTATAGCAACAGCCATATTTTCAGGTACCTGGATCTGAAACTGTTCAAAAATTCTGATTGTTTTCACTGAGAGAACATTATTCAAGCTGTCAAAAAGCGCATCAATCTCCCAAAACAAATACAACCCCCACTCTTCCAAAGCAAAAAAACCCACCAAAGGACATTTAGGGTGGGGGGAGGGGAACCCCAATGTGGTTGGTCCACCAGGAGAAAAGTAAAGTATTCATTGGTAGGAAATAAAGATTAACCAAAAGGACATACCGGTAAATGGTTATGGAAGCTCCAACGTTCTCCAGAACTTCTCATTAGACACTCTATAGAATATCTATGGAGATTCTCAGTCCTCCAGCTCATGGTTGTCCCAAAGGTGCTTTTTTTCAAGAGGCAACTGGACTTTCTGGTTTTTCTTTGAAGTTGTTTTTTTTTCCTCATCCATGAAGCTTCTTCAGCTTCAGAGCTGAAGAAGCTTCATGGATGAGAAGTGAAATGTCCTCAAAGAAAAAACAGAAAGTCCAGTTGCCTCTTGAAAAAGAACCTTTGGGGTAAAGAGAGGGATAAAAGAGGTGGTGAATAAACCACAAGCCAGATTTGAGGCATGGGATTGGTGGCTTAAAGTCGGTCTCAAGATGGTAACTGTAAACCCAACGCCTCCCGCAGTATTAATTGTTTTGGAAATGGGCTGTACCTAAAATTTAGGGATTGAGAATCTTGAACACACAACCCAGTGTCTGGAAACATTTCTTCTGCTGTTGAGCTTTTGGTTAGCTTCCCAGATGGAAGTTAAAAGAGGACATACATTTGCAGAACCTATAGATTCATTTGTATAAATGCAAGTGTTCTACAGTTTGTGTATCTGGAGTTTCACTGGCCTTGGCTTGCTCTCTGAAAGACAGTATTTCATATTTGAAACTAAATCTCTGTCAAAGTGATCATGATACATTTGGGTTCCACTGTATGAGAGGCAGATGGTCACAGAGAGAATCTTGTTGTGTAAGAGTAGATGATTATCTGGGCTTATTCCTCCCCATAAGAATGTTTAATTATGTAATAGTCCAGTTCAGGTTTGGTTTTCAAGACAATGAATTTGGTTGCGATGTTTTTTTTTAAAATTATATTGCATAGAGAAATTGGGACCAGCAAATTCCTTCCTACCTACCTTCTTCCCTCCCTCCCTCTTCCTTCCCTTCCCCTTTCTTTTCCTTTCCTTTCCCTTCCCTTTTCTTCCCTTTCTTTTCATTCTTCTCTATTTCCTTCCCGTGCTTTTCTTCTTCTTCCCTTCCCCCATTCTCCTCCCTTTTCTTCTCTTCCCTTCCCTTCGTTCCCCTATCTTTTCCTTTCCTTTCCCTTCCCTTCCCTTTCCCTTCCCTTTCTTTTCATTCTTCTCTATTTCCTTCCCGTGCGTTTCTTTTTCTTCCTTCCCTCCCCGCCTTCCCCTCTTCTCTTTTCCTTTCCTTTCCTCCTCTCCTCTCTCCTTTCCTTCTTTCTGTTCCTTTCTCCTTTCCTCCTGAAACTCCATTAAACCAAAGCCTAAACTCTCTCAATTCTAGTGCCAGGGACCATGGTCTCTTCTTGATTTTGCTGAACCTTCGGATTATCCCAGTTTAATAATGTATAGGTCTACTTGCAGATTTCTCATGCTGCATTGATTTTTTGAACAAAGGCTATTAATTATTAAGTAATTACGCTTTCCCGAGATTCTTGGGCTCTCCACTGCTTACTGCTCTTATTCTGCAGAGCAACATGATAGATAGTGGCATTACAAGCCTCATATCAAACTATATTTTATTTAAGCCATGGCTTCCTCATGTTTTCATCTTCCTTTAAGGCTTTATTAATTGCTGCTGCTGCTGCTGCTGCTGCTGCTGCTGCTGCTGCTGCTGCTGCTGTTGTTGTTGTTATTATTATTAAGCTATTTTTGCATCCACGCCTTCTGACCCCTGGCTGAAACGAAGCACAAATCTCCTGCAAATCTTACCTCCATGTGGTATGTGAGCTATCAGTGGCAGGCTGGTGAGCAGATCAGCACAAGTGCAGTCATTACCGCCGCGCGGTGATACAGTAATAGGCCCTGTTATTGATTTCCCCCTCTAACTGTATACTCTGCTTTACTGCACTCGCTCGGCTTCTTTTTGGCTCAGGTGCAATTTAGCCCAAAAAGAACATTGAATAGCAGAGTGCTGAAGAGGTTTATTTCACAAATTACCCATAATAATAAAATGCCTGGCCTCCTTGATCCCACTTTGCTAGAGAAAAATGGAACGGCTGTCTGGAGAATGGAGAGAATTTTGACATATTTCAAAATTAAAAGCTTAATCACAGAAGTGTCAAAGTTTCTCTCTCCCTCCCTCTCTCT